GACCAGAGTAGCTTGCCCATGCTCACTCCATCTATTAGAAAGGAGATATTTCCTCCTTGCCCGGACTGCCTCCAAAATAAACTCAAGCAGCCAGATTCCCTTTGCCATCTTCATTTTTTCCATATTACCCCAGTTTTGCACTGAGAGATATAACCTTTCTCCAGAATTTCTCTATACACTTCCTATTATGGCTCTGCCTCTTGAAATAAAATAATGAGCATTGTGTTTTAGTCCAAATTGGAGTCCAAGCATTTGCCCAACCACACAGTGCCATCAACCACAACACGAAGATGCCACAGCGGGCTGCCTAAAATAAACCCAAATAAACCCGTAGCTTCTCATTGGTCCAGGATCTAGATCTGCAGAACAGTAGGCACACCCATGAAAATTAGGGCTGTTCTAAGTATTTTTAGTTGGGCAGCGGCCTTCCACCAAGGCAGAACACTGCTTTAGGTTTGCTTTGTTGGTTTTTGTTTGGTTTTTCATTTTGTTTTTCTTGTTTTTCATTTTGTTTTATTTTTTGGATCTACTCTATGAATCCAAATCTTTCATACTCAGATATTGATTCTCAGCTGGGTACTGAGAGGCAAAACACCCGGATGTGGGCTTATCAGTTTCCTGTTATAAGAGAAACTGTTATTTCATTTAACAAATATTCCTGAATTCCTACTATGTACCAGGGACTGGTTAGTTGGTGAAGGTGATTGAGACTCACGCGTTATGTCATCCTTACACTAAACATCTGGGGGACCTTGAGCAAGACCCTTCTTCTTTAGGGACATCAGTTTTTGCCTCTATAAAGTGAAAGGGTAGATAGTTGAGTTCTGGGTCCTTTTTTTTTTTAATTTTTATTTATTTATGATAGTCACACACAGAGAGAGAGAGAGAGAGAGGAGAGAGAGAGAGAGGCAGAGACACAGGCAGAGGGAGAAGCAGGCTCCATGCACCAGGAGCCCGACGTGGGATTCAATCCCGGGTCTCCAGGATCGCGCCCTGGGCCAAAGGCAGGAGCCAAACTGCTGTGCCACCCAGGGGTCCCAAGTTCTGGGTCCTTTCTAATCCTACTGCTCTAGAGCTCAGGAGAATCTGTGCTGAAGAACTAGGCCTGGGTGCAGCACCTAAGAATAGAATGTCCTTTTCATTTACTGATGTGAAGAACTGGAAAAGGAAGAGGTTGGGGGGGGATAGTATTTTTCAAGGACTTTAGACTTTTCAATGTGTGGGAGTGGGGGGTGGAGGAGTAGCTACTGATTTTAAAAAATTCATTATATATGGCATAAAAAAATTGTCAAATACAAATATGTGTACCACTTTATGCTCTTTCCTGGTACATATTTTATAGAACTGTAATAAGTTCATCCATAATATTTTTTGTTCTTTGTTTTAACTGTTTTGTATAAGCATTCTGTATATCACAGAGTGCAGTCTTCTAATTTTTTTTTAGCGGGTAAGAGCTTTCCATCCTATCATACCAAATTTATTTTTTTATCTACTTGTCTACTCCCAAATAATGGAGTATTTGGACTATGTCCAGCCTTTTTCCTTTGATTAATAGCTCTGATATATATTTTCCCTAAATTATTTCCTTTGGACATTCATTAAAAAAAAAAAAAAGGAATTCCTGAATCAGTGATGCAATCAGATTCTAAAAGACCCAATCAATTTATAATGGCACCAGCAATTGATGAGCATTTTTGTTTTCCTTAACCCATCTACATCACATGTACTAATTTTTATTTCTTTTTGATGGCTTAAAAAGTGTACAATGTTTCTAGTAACTTCAATGAAATTGTTTGTATTTTCATTTCCTTCATTATTATTCAGGCTGGTCTGTTTATGTATTGAGTATTCTGTATTTCCTCCAATGTGAGTAGTTTATTTATGTCTTTGACCTCAAGTCTAATGGTTTTGAAAAACATATTAAGGCTTTCATGGGCCAAAATCTATAGACTATTGATATATTGTGGATATATATGTGAATATATATTCATCCTCAGGAAGGCAGAGATATTTGTCTGTTTTGTTCAGTCAAGTATTCTAAGCTCCTAAAATGATGCCGGCAAACAGTAGGTGCTCAATACATAATTATTGAATAAGTGAATAAATCATCACTTAATGTTTATGAGGCGCTTGTGTTGGGACAAATGTGAGCATTCAGTTTTGACACAGAGGAGATGAAAGTAATGTCAAAACAGCTGGATGTAGAAGGGAGGGGTGTTTCTCACTTCAGAATCTTAAAAATCCATATAAGGTGAAGGGACAAGATAAGAAGTCACTGAGACATTTCTTCAGATAATGACTTGACATTGCCCAAAAATGTCACAGATATCCGTGTGTTCTTGTCTATCCCTCTCATTACTGTGTGCATTAATAGTGTCAGACTAACTTTAATATTATCCCATTGTGAACTCAATTCAAGCAGCAAAGTTTTCCTTAGCTTTTACGATAATCTGCAAGCACTGAACTAGCCATAGGTGGTTAGTGCACAGAATGCAGTCTCTGTGTATCTATGCATTGACATGCAAACCTTAGAAAACGGAACAAATTATTGATATAGACTGCAGGGTGTATAAACCTCAAATGCTTCATGCTAAGTAAAAGAAGTGAGATGCAAAAGAACACATAGAATATGATTCCATTTATATGAAATGTCCAGAAAAGACAGATTTTTTTTTAAGATAGAAAGATTAGGTGCACTTGGGTGGTTCAGTCAGTTAAGTAGCTGCATTTGGATCAAGTCATGATCCCAGGATCCTAGGATTGAAACCCATGTCCCCCCTCCCTGCAGAGCAGGGAGCCTGCTTCTCCCTCTCCCTCTGCTGCTCCCACCCGTTTGTGCTCTCTTGCAAATAAATAAATAAAATCCTTAAAAAAAAAGAAAAGAAAGGTGGGCGAGGGGTTGGGGTGACTGGGTGATGGGCACTGAAGGGGCACTTGGCGGGATGAGCACTGGGTATCATGCTATATGTTGGCAAATTGAACTCCAATAAAGAAAGAAAGAAAGAAAGAAAGAAAGAAAGAAAGAAAGAAAGAAAGAAAGAAAGAAAGAATGGTTGCCTGGGGTTAGGGGATGGGGTGACTACAAATGCACACAAGGGGTCTCTTTGGGATGATAGAATTGTTCTAATGCTAGATTGTGGTGATCTTTGCACAACTCTAAAATTACTGAAAACCCATTCAGTTGTATACTGATAATGAGTAGATTTTATGGTCTTAAAATTATACCTCAATTAAATGTTTTAAAAAAGAGCGGCTACCATGACCTGTGCACTATCAAAACCAAGCAAAACATAGTTCCCAGAATAGGCAAACATTTAGAACACTGTCATTTAAGGGCTGCCCTAGAGGTGAGCCCAAGGGGTTATGGGAGCAGTCAGGGACCTAACCCAATATTGGCACTCAAGGGAAGTTTCCCACAGGAGACAATGTCTGGCTGGGAGAAATTGTTCTAGGAAAAGTAGGTGGGAGGATGTTGGTTGCGTAGGGCACACGCTAAGTCAATGCCAATATTATTCATGTCATGGGAGATAGTGCTAAGGTCAATGCCCAGCTTGTTTTGAATTTAGCAGGTTTCAGGGAAGTTAAACACTGCAGAAGTCTTCATGTATTGATTATAACTACCATCTGGTCGTGAGTCAGGAGCTTCGCATTTGGGAACAACAATCTTATAAGGCAGGATTACAGACGAAGAAACTAGGGAAGAAGGACAGATATTACTTGCTGAGGGTCACTTCTCCAGTATGAGCAGCAGAGCTGGAATCCAAACATATGCCTGAGTCTGAAAGCCATGCTTTTCCCATTCCATTATCTTTTACCTCTACATAGACACGTGACTATTACTGGTGAGGGATTAATGAGAAGGAGATAGGTTCTGCTGACCTGCTCTAAAGAATTCATAAAACCCTTCTGCAAAGAATTTTGCAAATGCAGTTTGACAGGGTCTCAGAGCCACAGCCTTTGTCATCCATCACTGTCCCTAGCCTTCTGTATACAGCGGGCAGGCATTTGAAATGTGCCATTTCTCTATTTAGCTTAGGATGTGCGAGTGAAATAATCCTGATTCAAGATAAATTAAAAGACACTGACTTCCTGAAGAACTAGAAAATCATGAAATACCACAGAAATCCAGTCTGCAATGCACAGCCCTCATTAAATGCCTTTGAATAATTTTGCACGATCACACAAAATACTTAAGATGATAATGACCAAAACAGAAACATGATTTCTTTAAAAAAAAAAATGTGTTTAGTTTCTTTCAGAGTTTCGAGAACTGTTCCTTCCCCTCACCTTTGGCTTTAATGTCTACTCCTTATGGGAAATTGTGAGTCGGCTTGGGTGAGGCAAAGACACACATTCTTCTCTAGAAAGAACGGACTTGCATTCCTAGGAGTAAAATAAATTAGGCCCAGTTTCTCTGTCCATTAATTATGTGGAATAAACAGCCTTCCCCTGCTTGGAGAGAAGGACAGGAGACCAGCACAAATTTCCTCCTTAGACTCAGGGGAAAGATCACCTGACTCTCCTGGAGAACGCCTGTGGCCTGAGAGGGCTCAGAGGCGTGGAGCCGGCAAGGCTGTGCTGCCAGATGTTTGTAAGAAATCCACCGATAGACACAATCCCGTGAGACCAGCGGCAGAGGACTGCGGCATTGGCATTGCCGGGGGAGGCTACAGATGCAGCAGAGCACGCGGGAGAAGGGATTTGCATCCATTCCTGCCCCTGGGAAATTTCCCAGCCCTGAAGGCAGCCTGTAGAGTCTAGGGAATGTACTGCCCCCGGGGGTAATTAGGTTATTTTAGTTAGAGTCTTAGAACAGGCCAACAACATTACCCCGGGAGAGGGGGGCGGTAGGAGGGAGGCAAGGCGTGGCCCCGGGGGTCTGGTCAAATGGCACCAGCTGGGATTTCCAAGAGAATGGACCCTCACCATGGCCACTCTACAGGCAGGAGCAACACGCGAACGAGACACGGAGTCGGAAATGGTTTTTGGGTTTTTGTTGTTGTTTGTTTTTTATTCATCAGAGACACACACGGAGAGAGAGGCAGAGACACAGGCAGAGGGAGAAGCAGGCTCCATGCACCGGGAGCCCGACGTGGGACTCGATCCCGGGTCTCCAGGGTCACGCCCTGGGCCGAAGGCGGTGCTAAACCGCTGAGCCACCCGGGCTGCCCGGAAATGTGTTTTTGACCTTTACGCGCTTGTGACCAATACGGCTACTCATCATCCCTCGCTTCCTTAACAAGAGAAGCTTCGTTTTATTAAGGGATGCTGCGGCGCTCTGGGTTAAAACCGCTCAGCCTCCCAGAATCCACTGCAGCTAGGGGAGGCCACGTGATCCCCTTCTGACCAATGGGATGCAGGCAGAGGTTGCTGGCTCGGGCTTGGGGCAATCACGCGGCTCCGGCCTCTTGCCCTTTGCCCTTTCCTTCCCTTCCAGCGGTGAGTGCGGACTTCCGGCCGCCATCTTTCGCCGTGAGGTGTGTGGCCGGATGCGCGAGGTGCGGAAGCTGCCTACACCCTCGGCGATTCCCCGCGAGCGCTGCGCTGACCCGGGCCTGCCATCCCTGTACTTTCTATTACGGGAGTCGGATTTTTGCTCGAGCCGCTGTAGGTCGGGTCTGCGTTACGTGCAGCCGAACCTAACCCGGAACTGATGGCCATGTGAATCCCGGTAAATTCAGCAGCGATTTCCTGTGACGTGTTAGGCGTGCGACTCCAAAGAGGAGAAACCTGCCAACCTCAAAACAGCCACGAGCTAGTGCGGGAGCGAGGGTGACGTAAGAAAACCGGCATCGTGCAGTCGATGTGTCTGAAAACAACAGAGGTTTTGTTTAAAGTGTAAAATGGGAAACAGAGTCATCAACAAGCAAAACCTACTGGGGTGAGTTGTGTGGGATTCTAAATTATTCCCGTGCCTTATTGTACACGTGCACATATAGGTGACGCTGATGCGCACTGAACGTCCACCCTTCACACTAGGGATATAATCCGCCAAACCAGGAAGTCGCAGCTATTTTACCCTCCCTTAAGGACCACTTTACACTTGTTTATTTTCTCTGGTGGGGTCAGAGGACCTCCATGTCTCCTAGGTAAATTTCTCAAGCCTTGTCAATTCCTGACACACAGGAGAAGGCCCAAGAAGTCCATGGAAAAATAAACCGAGTCTAACCAGCAGTGGTAACAAAGGGCAGTCGGGTCTGAGGCACACCCTGAGGTGAAGGCCAACGGGCAGTAGCGGCATTTTCACCCACTTGCAGCCCCTGCTTCAGCAACTGCTGCCTCTGCCCGGCTCTGATGCGCCCTCCCTCTGCGGCTTCCTCTATCCCTCCGTCCTGCCAAGCTCCCCATCATACCTCCCTGCGCTCCTGGTTGCCCAGCTTCTCACCCACCATCTCTCCCTCTCTCTCCCTTATCCAGTCATCAGCTAAGGATGATGAATTTTTAAAAGGTTATTTGCTGCATCTCTTGAGAGGGGTTTTATCCAGGATTTTAATTTTTGAAGCTGATGATTGGATTAATTGATATTTTACAGAAACAAGGATAACTTGCATTTATTTATTTATTTTATTATTTATTTATTTATTTATTTATTTATTTATTTATTTATTTATTGAAGAGAGAATACATTCACTTGGAACAAAGTTTAGGAAGCTTGAAAGGATATGCACAAAGTCTCTCCCTCACATCTGTCTACCTTGCTCCCTTGCTCAGGGCAACCGCCTAGGTAGCCCCACTGAGAATTCTAGACAAGTATTGAGCTCAAGTTGTATTGCTGTGAGAGAAAGAGGGCGGGCGATGGCAAAGAGGGGAGAGAGAGAGAGATCTACCGGCTTTCCAGCTTCACCAGCTTTGTGTGTATCCTTGCGGAGCGACTTTATATTCAAGCAAGTATCTACACCTGTTTCCCCATTTTGTTCCATAAAAAGATGGCCATACTTTTTTGTACTTCTCTTTTTTTCCCCATTTAATATAGCTTAAAAATCTTTCATATCAGCACAGGAAAAAGCATGCTCATTCCCTTTGAGCTAAAAAAGTGTTCCCTTGCATAAAGGTATCATAATTTAGCCCTCTGTTGATGGACATTTAAGTTGTTTCCAAATTTTATTTTTTTAAATGATGATGTGATGAATAGCATTGTATATGAATCATTTCACAGAAAAGAGTATATTAGGATAAACATAGAAGGGAATAAAAAATAAGCACTTGGGATTATGGTAAGTATTGGGAAATTTCATAAAAGATACTGTTTTACATTTCCACTTACAATGTATGGCCATGCCTATTTCTGTAAATCCCCACCAATTTAGTTTATCAGACTTTTTGGACTTTGTCAGTTTGATGGGTAAAAGATGGTCTGCCAGTATATTTTTAATTAGTTCCCCTTATGAATAAGACTTTTTCATCTTTTTTATTTTATTTATTCATGAGAGAGAGAAAGAGAGAGAGACACACACACACACAGAGGGAGAAGCAGGCTCCATGTAGGGAGCCCGACGTGGGACTCCATCCCGGGTCTCCAGGGTCATGCCCTGGGCTGAAGACAGGTGCTAAACTGCCGAGCCACCGGGGCTGCCCAGATTTTTTCATCTTTTACACATTTCAGAGCTACTTGTATATTCCTTTCTATTAAATATCTATTAATATCCTTTATTATTTCTTCTATTCAGTTGGTAGTTTTTTTAGTTGATATTTTCCAAGTTCTTAGAAAAATTAAACATTTATCTGTGATACAAGATACACATTTTCCCCCAGTAGGTCATGTGTCTTTTGATTCTGCTTAACAAATATTTTTTACCTTGCAAAGATGTTTAGTTTAGATGTAGTCAAACATGTGAATCTTTTCATTTCTGGTTTCTAGGTTTTGTTTCATATTTAGAAAGTCCTTCTCTTGGAAGGGCAGTTTTTTTTTTACCTTCTTATTCATGCATTATATTACAAGTTAATAAGTTCTTTATCATGTGGCTGTTACAAGTTAGACAATGGCCAAGAATCAAAGATTGGGGGCAGGGAGTGAGTGAGAATCTAGATTCATATTTTCTCTACTTCTGGCTGTATTAGGCAAGAGGACTTAGAGTACTCTGATGTCCACCTCATCTACTTGTCTGCAGTGGGCAAGTGAACATGCCCACAGCTCTGCAGACTGAGTGTATGTGAAAGGAAGATGCTAAAATGCTTTGGTGACATGTGCATAAACATTTGAATTTCTTCTCTCAGCATATCATAGTGTCCTGTCTTGCTGGACATCTAGGTAATGTCTATCTACATATGTTACTGTTTGTGCTCAAAGAAGTTTCTGGCATGGGAGGTATAACAAAACTCATTACAGCTAAAAAAAAATGTTGCATGCACATTCCTTGGTTGAGCAGGCTTGAGAGAGAGCCAAATTTAGACATGTGTAATGAGGCACATATAACAAGCTAAGGCCACTCCGCCTCTTCCATCCTTCCTTTTCCCCAGCCACAGCCTCCCAGCCCTAAGGGTTCTAGCTCCTTCCTTCAGATGAGGTCATAGTCGCAGGTAGGCACCTGAAGTAGGAAAAGCTGCCCTCCTGCAGCATTGGAAAACCTCCACCAGCCAGGAAGGGCAGTTCTGAAGATGGCAGCGTCCAAATTTTTAGAAGCAACAGCCCCTCTCTAAGTGTCCTTACAACACCAGAAGACAAAGAAGCTGGCCACATACAAACCCAAACTCCACATATAAACCAAAGTATCTTGAGGATCACCACTCAGGCTTTTAAGATAAATCTTAAAGATCTTTGATCTCATTATTTTTAGGGCATTTTGAAACTGTGTCCTTCCTACACACAAGGTTCTAAACTGAGAGTAATGGCCAGAAGCCATTGGGTCATAAGATCACTCTAAGGATATTAGCCTCAGCCATCAGGTGCTCCCAGGGCTCGGGCTGGAGGAAAACAAATGATGGAGCTACTTGGGTCCAGAAGAACAGAGTGATGGGAAGCCACAGAAATCAGAACTAGGAATATGGGTGCTAGGAGGCCAGGGCATCTCAAGTCGGTGTCATTGACTGTATCTCTGTCATAGACAGATTCTTCGGGCAGACTTAGAAGTGGGGGCTCAGGAATGGAGTAGGTTTATTATACTCATGATAACAGCTCTGTGTGAGAACCCAGATGGTGCAGGCCTAGAGATGTTTGTCTGCTGCCCTACATTGTCACCAGCTGGATATGTGTTAGAGTCCTTTACCATTTGGAGCAAGGCACTGGGCTGGCGCATGCCACTCCTGATCTCAGGGTTGAGTTCAAGCCCCACAGTGGGTGTAGAGGTTGCTGAAAAAGAAAATCTGTAAAACAAAAAACAAAAAAAATGGGAGGGCATCAGTTACCACACAGGTGAGACAAGATTAGCCTAAAATCAGTTTTAAGGGAGCCCCCCTTGTTTCTGAGTTGGGTAGAGGGAAGAGGGGATTCATTTGACTCAGGGACTCAGGATTGATGAAGAAAATGCTGCGTCCAAGGAGAAGCAGATATATCCAAGGGAATTCTAAAGACCAGTCCTACTCTTCCCTGATTTGTGATTCAGATGGTTTGAGGACATTTTCTATTTGAAACTGTGGCAGTTAACTTGAGGCTTAAGTGCAAGTAGAGAGAGATCAAGAGTCAGGAGAGAGGGATCCCTGGGTGGCGCAGCGGTTTAGCGCCTGCCTTTGGCCCAGGGCGCGATCCTGGAGACCCGGGATCGAATCCCACATCGGGCTCCCAGTGCATGGAGCCTGCTTCTCCCTCTGCCTATGTCTGCCTCTCTCTCTCTCTATCATAAATTAAAAAAAAAAAGAGTCAGGAGAGAAATGGCTGTAAGATCAGCATGAAAGAAAAAGTGACCATCCATTAATTTGGCCACTGTTCACTGAACCCTGAGTGCCAGATATTATTTAAGGTGCCAGGGATATAGCAGTGAACAAAACAAAGTCCCTGCTCTCATGGTTCCTATCCTATATTCAAGTGGTGGTGACAAATGATAAACAAGATATGTATGTATTTTTAAATACATATTTCTATATGCATTTATATATATCTTCCCTTCATCCCTATCTGTTCTCTTTGCTGGCTCTGTTAGTACTTTTGCCTACTGCCAATCGGTAAGTAATGGAGTGGGGATGTTATTTGGGATAGGTGGTCAGAATGCTTTGTTGGTTCTGATGTGACATTTGAGCAGAGCTGGAATGAAGTGACAGAGGAAGCCATGTAAACACAGAGGGAAAAGTGTCCAAGGCAAAGGGCACAGTGAGCCCGGGGACAGGCAGTAAGGAAGTAAGGGAGTAAGTGTGGCATCATAAGGGATAAGATGACAGGTTGGAGGAGTGTCGTAGTGCAGGCCACAGGCCTTGCAGACCATGATAAAGGTGTAGGAATTTGTTTTGAGTGCAGTGAGGGGCCACTGGAAGATCATATAGTTGTCAGGTTATTGGAGGGCCTGAATGGCATTGTGCCATCATGTAAATGTGATGCTCCGGTGCAGTACTTACCTCCTAGCCTGAGAGGTCGTGCCTTCCACACCCCAATCTTGGGGGAACTGGTTGTGCCCTTCAGCCACTGATTGTGTACTTCTGGGCTGCAGCGGGGCCTGAAGAGATGGAGAAAGCCATAAAGGCTGCGAATTGCAGGCAGCTGGGGAGGGATTGCCTTGACCTCCTACTTGAGCTGCATCTTACACAAGTAAGTGGCTGTTATCCCAATGTTCAGAAAGCAGTTTCTGCTTCCTAGTTCCTAAATTCTTCCTCCTGACCTCTCTGTAAACCAGACTTCTGCTTACCAGAGCTCAGCAGGACACCTGCTATGTCCATCTTCTTCTGTCTAGAACAAAATACCAGTAGGCCCTTCATGAGCTTCTTCCTTATGTAGGAAGTGAGAAATCCCCCAAATTCCCCCTAAAGTTCAAGGACAAGCTTTGTCTATGGGAATTCAGACTCCATTGGGAAAACCCTGCACTCCACCTATGATTCAAATGCATTAGCAGATACGCACTACAAAGGAACCCAGATTCCAGAAGCTGATTTCTTTCACAGGTGCCCTTCCTTGAAGCCTTAGAAAATGCAGGTCGTCTTATACCATTTGCATGTTGTGTGCATGTGTGTGTTTATAACAGTAAGGTTTATTTCTTGCCTTATGTCTGTAGGATTGTGCTGTCCTCATTCTAGGACTGAGACTGAAGGCATAATCCCTGTGTGCAACATACTCCTCCTCCTCCTAAGTATTTCCTACTGATAGTTTTTGGAAAATAGGATGGAACTCTGTGCTTTCTTTTGCAGAATAAACCATATTGCCTGTCCCACATGACCATCTCACCCTTATCTCCCTGTTTTGTCTTTATCATAAAGTTCTTAAACCCACACGTCATTATGATATTGTCTGAGACCTAAGAGAAATGAGCTTGAGCCCCAGAACATGAAACAGTATGTTCAGTATAGTCATGTGTGTGTTCTGAGTAGAGGTAAATATGCATAAATATTCACCAAAGAGGTGGCATTATGAGTGTTTTTTATTTTCATCTTTTTCATGTCTATTTTCAAATTAAAAGATTAATTTAAAAAATCCTTACATACCAACTACCTGGAAATAATGTAAGAAAGTTATAGTCTCAGGGCGCCTGGGTGGCTCAGATGGTTAAGCATCTGCTTTTGGCTCAGGTCATGATCCCAGGGTCGTGGGACCAAGCCCCTTATTGGGCTCCCAGCTCAATGGAGTCTGCTTCTCCCTCTCTCCCCCTGCTTTTGCTTCTCTCTCTTTCTCTCTCTCTCAAACAAATAAATGAAATCTTAAAAAAAAAAAGTTACAGTCTCAACCTCAGTCTTTTCATCTAACAACTCTCTATGAGGCAGGGCCTTCTAAGTTCTGCCAACAAGTCCTCTTTCAAATAGAGCACGTGTGTGTGGTAAGCACTCATGGACTGATCCTCTGACCAGCCTCCTTATGTTAGGCACCTGTGTGTGGCTTAGAACCGTTCACACCCAAGAGCATAGAATCAGGAGAGATTTCAGAAATGATCTTGCCTGATTGCCTGCACAGTGCTCAGCTCTCCCTGCTGTATCCCTGACTGGGGCTCATCCAGTCTCTGCTTCATCACATCTCTGGATGGGGAGCACAGGGGCAGGATACCAGCTATTGGCGGACATTGGGCTTAGGTAGCAAGGTTTGCCCTGTAGAGTGGAAAGATCTATCCCCCCCTGAACTCCCACCCTCAGGTTCTCAGCCCCAGATCTCGGGCACTTCACAGCTCACGGGAAATAAAGGGGGACATACGGTAGAGAATGAAGTTCACATTGCTTGTCTTTCTGCTGTTTTGATTTAAGAATCTCTTTTAGTTTATCTTAGTTTCTCGTCAGTGCTATCTGGCACGACTCAAAGATTTGGCGCCTTCTCTGTGTCTCCTTTCTTATGTCCGTGGTTTCTTTCTCTCCTAGGTGAAAGATCATCAGCTTATTTCTCCCCGCTTCATTCTGGCCACTTTTCTTCAGCAGCCAGCCCTGCACCTTTATGTCCTACACTGTACATCACTGGCTTTCTTTGACGTTCCCCCTCCTGTCTTCATCACCCTTTTTCCTTTCTTCATCGCTCTTTCCCTTTCAGGCACATAGGAAAATACATTATAGTAATGCACCTCCAATATGTGACTCAAAAATAGTACCTAACTGTAAAACAAGTTTATGGAAAAACAGATTGTTTTGATTTTGTTTTTAGATTTTCACAGTGATGATTATTTCGTGTTTTTTCATTTTTATTGGAAAACACAACATAAAATTTATCATTTTAAAGTACATAATTCAGTGACATTAAATATATCCACAGTATTGTGCAACCATCACCACTCTCTAGTTCCAGAACTTTTGCATCACCCCAAATGGAAACTCTATGCCCATTAAGAAGTCCCACCCAATGCTCCCCTCTCCCAGCCTCCGGCAATAACTGAACCATGTCCTGTCACTATGGGTTTGCCATTGCCGGATATTTCATGTAAATAAAATACAGTATGTGGCCTTTTGTGTCTAACTTCTTTAACTCTGCATAATGTTTTCCAGCATGTTTTATCACAATTGTAGCATACATCAGTGCTTTTGATGCATTCATTCAGCATGCATTCATTTCTTTATATGACGGGATAATATTCCACTATGTGAATATACCAGTTTGTTTATCCATTCATTAGTTGATGGATATTTGGGTTGTTTCCATCTTTCAGCAGTTGTGAATAGTGTTGCTGAGAACATTTGTCTACAGGTTTTTGAACTTGAACATATGAACACAAATGCTTTTTTTTTTTGAAGTATTAATTTTTTTCTCCACAACACAGGCTTGTTTATTTGTTTCTTGCTGGAGGCAGGGATGGGTGTGCCGCTACTTTGCTGATGCCCTAAGCAAAGCTCAGCCTGTCCACTGGCAGTCTCCCATCTGTTCTCTGTTCTTGTGCCTCTTGATAATCTGTTTCCCTTCCTCTCTTTTCCCTGCACAAATTTGCATGTGCAACAATTCAGAATTCATACTGGCAAGTGGATTTTCTTCCTCTAGAGGTGTATATGTGTGTTTAATAAGTACAGTGAATATGTATAACTCAGAAAGGCCTTAGGCCTCAGTTCTCAGCTTCCCCTAACAAGGCCCCTTTCCAACTCAATTCCAGGAAAGCAGGCTCCAAGAGCTCAAGCCAGGAGAGGCCTTTCCTCAGGCCTCAGCTCATAAAGCCAAGGTGTGTCTGGGCCCCACAACTCTGTCAGACTTGGAACTTGAGCCTTCACTTGTTGGCTGCTGTCAGAGTTCAGTGCTCCCTGCCAAACCCTTGGAAAGCTAGAGGCCACAGAGAAGAGAGAGGCATCAGATTACTGCCTACAGAAATGTGGGGGCTGCCCTATCTGACATTCCCCATATATAGTGTCCACGCAAGCAACCACAGGCATCATCAGCATTTGGGATCACATCACAAAATGCGGTCTGGTTCTCAAAGATACAGATGCCATTGCTTCTTTCCCCTTTGCCTTCCCTACCTTTCTCCTGGGTTTGCCTCTCACCTCCCTCTCCCCTATCCTCTGCTTTTTTCAGATCAGTCTCTCTGTTGATTTCCCCAAATGCTCTCTAGTTCTCTCCTGTCCCTTTGATTTCCTCCCCTCCTTTCATCCTCTAAACTTTTTCTATCCACTCCGTCTCCTTGCTTTTCTCCGTGTGTCTTTCGGATCTGTTTCCTTTGACACTGGTCCCAGGCCCACTGCCAAGTTTCAGACCCATTAGTGAGGTGCCTTGCTGACTGAAACACAAATCAAGACTGATCCGGGTACAATTAGCAGCTGCTCGCACCTCATCTGGAAAGCATTAGCCAGCACTGAGAGGGAGGGAGGGAAATACTGATGCCAAACAGAATAGATCTCCTATTTTGGAACATGAAAGGATCCTGACCCAGTAGATGTGTAACTGAAAAAAAAAGATACGGATAGACAAAGAGGCCCTCCTGAAAGGCAAAGATGAGTGGCCCATTAACTGACTTTGGGTATCCTTTAGCATCTATGCAAGAGATATAGATTTCTCCACATTGGACTCAGGTCTATGACTATCATCCAGGAAAAAGGCTGTCTGTTCCATTTAATTGGGATACTCAAACACTTGTGTGACCCACGAGTTTTCTGCTTCTGCTGCATATTGTGTTATCTTCATACTGCTAGAGGTCTAATGTGCTCTAAGAATCACCTGGCACTGAGTTAAAAATACAGATTTGGATTCACTAGGACTGGGGAGGGGTCTGAGAGTCTGCCTTTATAACAAGCTGGTGGGTGAACCACACTTTAACAAAGGCTCTAGGACAGTTCAACTCTTATGGCTTTGGTCAAATGCCTCTGCTAGGGCTTCTCCCAGTACCCTTATCCTCCGCTTTTTTAGAACTCAAAATTATAATTAAGGATAAGTGATGTAATTAGCTGTTTGATGCCTATCTTCCCAACTCAAATGCAAGCTGCCCAAGGGTAAGAACCAGGCCTGTTTGGTTCACCTCTGCATCCCCAGTACCAGCCCAATGTGTTGCATATAGTAGGTGTTCAGTAAACATTTCACAAGTGAATGACCCAGCTTAATCCCCCAAAGCCCTCAAAAATCTCTCCTCTTTATGAAAGCCTTCCTAGGTTAGCAGTCCTTATTTGTATCTGCCTGGTGGCATTTGATGATTTCCCATGTGATTTAGCCCTGCAGCTAGATCATTAACTGCTTGAAACTGAGACTTTATCTTCTGAGTTTCTGAACTTTTTTTTTATGTCCCTTGGAGAAACCTCCATCCCCCTCACTCCCACCCCATCTTAGTACTGGCTTGCTCTAGTAGGCATTTAGTGTTGGTTGATTGAGAGACCCTAGGATGATGCCAAGTTCTATTTAGACCTCAATTATAATGCCCAAAGGGTGGCTGAATTTTGGCTGGGCCCAAAGCCAAGGTTTTACATGCTCCAGTGGAAAAACCTTTAATACTACCTAACACATTCATAGGGTGGGAAGGCTGAGACATTATGTGTACACAAAATCAAGAGATGTAATATTGTGAGGCTCCCAAAGCAGTTATAAATCAAGCCACTCCAGAGGGTTGACTGCACAGCTGTGGCC